TTTTGATTTCACGTTCATGTGGTAAATAATGCAGTTAGACTAGATATTTTTCTTTTCCTACATTCTCCAAAATGCATTTTGTGGCTGATTAGCAGTGAAACACCAGTAAGAGATCCATGGAGGCCATGAAAGGTGTGGAAGGATGTTTATCCTCCTTCATCCTGAAGGAGAATATCCAGCCATCATGCCCTGAAGCTCATCTCACTTGGGTTGAGTAATGAATGATCAGCTGACTCTGTGGCCACCTCTGTGATAGCTTTATTTATGTACAGCATAACTAAAAAAAAGGTAAAATTTTACATTTACAGTTATGCTCAAATGTCTCCATCTGCAGGTGGCTTTACATTATGAACCTGTACTCATCGTCAAGAGATCCTCCTCATACTGGAAAAACTGGATGTATGTAATAGGTGTGAATATTTCCTCAGGTATTCCAGTGACACAACCCAGGTCATACCAATGCGCAAAAGGCCTTTTGAAGTATCATATTTTGAAATATCACACTGATTATAGCAAATAACTAATCACATTATTTATGGATTAATTTAATGTAGCGTCAGTTATATAGCTTTTTAACTTTTTTAACTTTTATGAATTGCACAGAGTCTGTGTTGATGTCATTGGTGACAACAAGCATAAAAAACTCAGTTCCTGGACATTAAAACTAAACCATGTAATTCACTGCTGCCATCGTGTCTGCTGTAAACAGGTTGTATTAACCCTTTTGAAATCTGTGTATTGTTGAACAATTTCCTAGTGCTGATCCGTGATGTCATGGGTTTTATGTGTTGGCATGAGTCACAGGTGAAAATAACAATAGTGTCAAGTCAGGCGTGTGTGTGTCACGACACACACCTTAACTCCCGACTCCACCCATTAAAAAAAGATCACTCAGATTGTTTTCTGTTTTAGCCATGTTCCCATGTGTGCTGGGCCATTGCGTAAACAAAGTGCGCAGTGTTCCTCCCAAAGGGCGTGGCTTCCTGATGTGCTTCTTTAAGCCTTCCGGGAGCTGGATGCGGAAGACAAACACGAAACTGCTCTTTCGGAATTCCTGAAACTTCATCGAGGTAAGTTCCCAAGGTAAAACCTGTAAAATCTTTAGATTTTGATGTAGTTATTATAAGTGACACGTTTGGGACAAACAGCTAAAACTCCCAATAACGGCTGACTGAGTGTGCTGAACTTGCTGTGTGGAGAAACATGGAGAAAGTGTTGCGGATTTACAAGCTGTTGAGCAATTATGACTTCATGTTTTGTTAGGTCATCTTCTGTAAGAGTATACATGTGGCATTTAAGCCTTTGTTGTGTGTTGTATTGAGGTTTATAGCAGCGATTAGCCTTGTTCTGTACTGACAAGTGCTACAAAATGTAACCGTTTCCACGGTAAACACTTAAAAACAAACAAACAGACGACAGATATCAAGACCTTCATAAAGAGAGGATCAATTGAAGGGGTTTACTTTGGTTTAGTTTTATTTAGGTGTTCGCATTAAACGGCTTACTTTGTGCATCCGTGTGTACACCAAACACAAATTGTGAAATGAGAAACCGTGACAGCTAGAGGTGATCAGGTGAGTAACTGCCTCTGGCTCTGATGTCTCTTTGTCAACAACCAACCAAAAAAAAAACCACCAGATATTTCTCATTGTTGTTGAGTGTAAACACCGACTGCTTTTCCCTTTGTTCTGTCTTTGTAAAGTGACTATCTGGTTTTGATCTGGAAAAATGAAGAAGCCACTGAAGTTAACTGCTGTTTGTTTAATTTGGGTAGAATCACGAATTCAATCAAGATATACTGAGTGATATATTTAC